TTACTGCCTCAGGTAGAGCTCTGCTGTTGTTAGCCCATGTGCAATAGACTCAGTGGGAAAGGTGGACATGACTAACTTGTATTTGGTGGTTATTGTGTTTGTTTTGGTTTGCCTTTTTCCCATTATTCACAACTGGAGTAATAGCAACTTCTTTTGTCTTTTGCCTTTAAAGGAATTACACTCCAGGAAGTGTAAAAGCAAAACTGTGTCATATTCTTGTTTTGTTTATCCTAGGTGCCTGTGTGTTCTTAGAAAACACATGGCAAAACTTCTCAGACTAATTTCATTCAGTTTCAAGACTTGTTTTGTGGTAGAGGTGGAGCTGAAATAGTGAGATACATTTTGTACTGCACTTTTTCCCTTCTTTAGTGGCATTATGGAGTCTGAACTTTGATTCTGTTTTGTTTGGTTTTGGTTTTTTCCCCAGATACTACCTAGCAATTTAAAAGAAAATAAAACAAATTCCTATTTTTCTGTGTCATTTTGTAAAGGCAGATTTTAAAATGAAATATAGTTAAAAAAATACTGCAGGGTCTCCCTGGGCGTGTGTCATTATCAGGAGTAATAGATATTGGGATTTTGGTGAAGGTTTTGCTCTTTGGATTTTGTAGCACTCAACTGTGTGTGGTAGGTAAGTTGTACTGAGACTTCAGTCAAGAGCACACCACCCTTCACTGTAAAATGTACTCCATCCTCTCCCACCATAAGCTGCATTATACTTCCTCAAGTCTTTTTCATCACAGTGTGTGTCAGAGTATCACAGGGTTTTAAGGACTTGGCAGGTACCAAAATGCCCTTCCTGAAATTTAAAATTCATAAAAAATAGGAACATCCAGGGTAGGGCAGAAGAACTGGAGCTGAGTTCTTTCCATTTACTCTTCATCTCATCAAAAGTAGCTGAATGTCAATTATGACACACAGTGACTGTAAATAAATAGGGGGTTTAAAATCATGTAGTTAGACATTTCTGGTGTGACCAGTATTCAGGATTTGTCAGCTAAAATGGTGTAGCTTTTCAGGGAACGAGTGAAGTGAGGTGCTCACCTCTCACAGATGGTAGGAGAGTGTCAGCTGGAGGTTCTGAGTATCCTGCCCTTCTTGGCAGTAAAAAGCACTCACAGTGATAAAGAGTGAGCTGGCACAGTTGTGAGCTATGATCCCACCTAGGTGGTGTTCTGGTAAAAGCTCAAGAGCCAAAGAGAATTAATTCCCACTCCTTAAAAATTACAGTGTTGGGTTTTTTAAAATTGTTTTTACAACAGCCAGCTAATGTAAAAGAGGAACTGTTATAGCAGGTGGTGTCAGCAGAGGCTGTTCCTGCTTCCCAGTCTCGGTGAAAACAACAGAGGGAGAGACAGTTTGGTCACTTCCTCTGTACACATACATCCATTAGAAAGTAAGGAGAAAATAATTCTCCTTCCATATATGGTGCCCTCTTGTACAAATGCCTCCACAAGGAAGTCAGGAATCCCTGCTGTGCACTCAGTGCTGGAGAGAATTTGCTAAGATTGTTGTGGTACAAATGAGCCTATCTCAACATCTAATTAGCTATTGGTGATTTAGGGGCATTGCTGTGCTTAAAGCATTTTCCAAATGGATGCAGACCTTGCTCAGAGAGGAGCTGTGGGTCACTCGTGAGCTGTATCTGATTGAACCTGTGTACTAAATAGAGGGCATTGGGGTGAGTTCTCTGTGCCTGTAACAAGGTTTACTACAGCTGACTTTCAATTACAGTATTGATTCCCATTAAGATTGGCATTTTGCCTTCAAAAACATGGCTATACATCAATGCTCTGAGGGATGAGAATGCCTTCTGTGCAAGAATGAGTGGTTTAGCTACCAGATGTATAACTTCTGGATAGAGAATATGACCAGAGACTTTTCTAACATCACTGCAGCAATGCTGCAAAACAATTTTTGGTCTTGAAAGAAGAAGATGCCAAGCAGTGTGTCATCAAATAACAGCATTGATGATGTGTTTGCAGGACTCTGGCACTTGTGAAAGTCTCATTTGAGTAGATCCTCAAATACTTTAGTAAATTTTGAGTATACATTCAGCCTAGAAACAGAATTTTTGGAAAGCCTGAAGGTGTAAGAAAAAAATCAGGACACATTTAAGAAAACAACACTATTTACAATACCTAATTATGAAAGCTAAATGTACTTAACAAGGAGAAATATGCTGCATATAATTTACTGTATAGACAATATGGCTGCATCGGTACAAGTTCTATATGAAGTAATGTTTTTGAGGGGAGCAGAAATATGTATGCATATCCAGGGAATGTGGCTTACTGTGTCTGTGCAGATAAATTGGTTTTGCATGGATCATACGTCTGATCCAGTTCTCATCCCAAGAATGCTGAGCTCCTGTTCTCTGTTAGGACAGGTGAGGTAGGTGAGTGTCATGTTGAGAGTCAAAAGTGAATTTGCTGTACAGTATGAGGTTCTATAATAGGCAAGGTGCTAGTAAGCTAAAATTTGTGTTATTAATATTGTATTTTGAAGAAATGAAGCACAACACCAGTATAGCCTCGTGGCTGTTACTCGGAGACACCTTGAAGTTCATTCTGGGAGTAAAAAGTTTCACATAATATGATTTTTATAACAGTGACAAATCTGTGGTGAATGTGGTTCCTTACCAGACTTTTGAGGGAAGAGAAGAACTTAACTAAGGCTTTTCTGAATACTTTTCTTGGCCTCTTTCTCCTTAAGCATATACATCCTGTCTACAAGACCTTCTCGCAGCAAGTGGGATCCAGAAATTGCTTAATAATGGCAGTGTTTGGTTTTTTGAGCTACAAAATGGTGAAGGCTGAAAGTGTTTCTTGCTCCAGGAGAGGGATTTACTAAAATCAGGCTTAGTGAACAACATGCTGTGAAATGGCTTGGTTGCAACTAAGCTAAAACTAGAAGTTCAGTTGTAACAGAAATGCTGACACTTCTCATGTGCTTTGGTGCATTTGTCACTGAAGCAGTGTGTGTTATCAGGAACATACATCCTTTCTAGGTTATGGTTGCAAGGACTTACTTACACCTGCATACTGACATTCTGTGTATGCTTTGTGAGAAAGGTTAAATTTGCTACAGTCTGAGTATCAGTGGTGTTGGCAACTATGTGGTTATTCCCTCTGGGGGGAAAAGCTCCAGACTTCATTGCTATCCAGATCTTGATCTCTAGGAAAATGATTTGCAGCTCGTGTTTAAAGCAAGGGAGGCCAAATCCTACACAGGTTATTTCCCAGAAGGTACTTGAAACAAGGGTGATACATACCAAAATATGGCTCTTACCTGCCCTGATAATCCCTGAGACACACAGAGATGTCCATGAAATAGTTAAGGGACTTCCATAGACATAACCAGATGGGCATAATGGCTACAAGCAGAAGTCCTAAGGCTTTCTGGCCCTTGTGGAGATAATAGAGAAGACACAGATACAGTTTGATGGCCTGGTTTATTTGCTGGTATATAAATGTGTAAGATACAGCTGAAATTAAAACACAATAGCTATAGAAATGTTTTATAAGAGCAGTTACCTTATTTGTATTTCTAACTCTAAATGTACAAGTGGGCATACTTTTTTGCTGTCCACTAACTTGAGTAATAGGCTTGTAAAAATGTGCCTCAGAATGTATAAGAGTGTTTTTGTGCTTCAGTCATGATCAAATATTTATCATCATTTTAGGCATCACTGAAAATAGAGATTATGACTATGCTTAAATTATGGTTGTGCATGCTCTCATAATAAATATCTTCAATAGAAAATGATGTCAGATAAACTTTGTATGTCCCTAAGGGTTTTCTTAAGTGATCATTTCAAAGATGGAATCTGTGTACACATTATGTTAATTATCCCTTGGGAAGCAAAGAGCCATGCTCCTAGCCTTAACCTGAGAGTAGTGCTGCTTGTTTGCTTTTTTTAAACAAAAGAAACTTTTTTCTGTGAAATACTTTTGATGTTATATGAATATCTTTTAAAAAGATTAGAATATGAATTGTACATAGAATCATGGAATGGTTTGGATTGAAAAAGACCTTAAAGATCATTTAGTTCCACCCCCCTGTCCTGGACAGGGATGCCATTCACTGGACCAGGTTGCTCAGGGCCCCATCCAGCCTGGCCTTGAACACTTCTACCCTGAGCGCTACCTGTATTGACGTGTAGCCAACCTCATTCTTACTGCTCCCAGGGCTCATGGAATCATAGAATCAACCTGGTTGGACCTCAAAGATCTTCCAGTCCAACCCTACCATGGTTACTAGGCCATGGCACTAAGTGCCACATCCAGTCTCATCTTAAATTAAAACAGGGACGGTGAATCCACCACCTCCCTGGGCAGCCCATTCCAATGCTTGACTACTCTCTCTGTAAAAAATCTCTTCCTAATATCCAACTTAAACCTCCCCTGGCAGAGCTTGAGTCTGTGCCCTCTTGTCCTGCTGCTGGTTGCCTGGGAGGAGAGACCAACCCCCACATGGCTACAACCTCCTGTCAGGGAGTTGTAGAGGGTGATAAGGTCTCCCCTGAGCCTCCTCTTCTCCAGGCTAAACAACCCCAGCTCCCTCAGCCTCTCCTCATAGCACTTGTCCTTGAGTCCCTTCACCAGCATCGTTGCTCTTCTCTGGACCCACTCCAGCACTTCAATATGCTTCCTGAACTGGCCCATACACAAACTGGCTGTGGGTTGGCAGAGTAGAGTATCACACAAAATATTGTTCAGTTTAATAGCCATATAAAATGACTAATAAGTAGTTTTTGTTGTCAGTGTTTTGTTCTTTTTGTTATGTTTTCAAGAAGCTGTTGACTCTTGGGAGCCCTATCAAGATACTAATTGTTCCAGTAATCTCAAATTTTTTCTCTCCTGACTTTAATCTCGGTTTTTAAGATTTTCAAAAACAGCCTAAGTGTGTAAATGCTCCTTTAGTAAACTGCCAGTTGTGGTTGTGATTTAAAGTGGCTACTGTTACTTAATTTATTTTAATCTGTGTATGTGAGACAGGGAATTCTTACCCCACCCTGACACCTTTTCTCCCTTTACCTTTGCCAGGGTTTGGCCGCAAGGATGTAGTTGAGTATTTGCTCCAGAGCGGTGCCAACGTCCACGCGCGGGATGACGGAGGCCTCATCCCTCTGCACAACGCCTGCTCCTTTGGGCACGCCGAAGTTGTCAATCTTCTCCTGCGGCATGGTGCAGATCCTAATGCTCGGGATAATTGGAATTACACTCCCCTTCATGAAGCTGCCATTAAGGGCAAGACAGATGTCTGCATTGGTAATTTACTCCCACTCTTCCTGTGACTGACTCATTTGTTTTCACTGTGAAAAATCAAGAACCTTTTAGTGACCATTTTACTACTCTGTGCAGCTATGGCTGGTGTAAGTGTTACAGCTAAAATCTTTCATAAACATATTTATATGTCACTTAAAAGGAACAAGCTTTTAGATCTGTTTGTGATAATTGCCTAACTCTAAAGGTTCACATCGACAGCATGGGGAAAGAGCTTAAGAGTGACATGATAAAGCTGAATTGTCTTCTGTTTCAGCCTAGACTCTTTAGCTGCCTTCTGCTGCTGCTCACAGTACAGTGGAAAGAACAAAGCTGACTTTAATAATGAATTCATTCTGTCTTTGTATAGCAGCCATGTTAAATTAGTTAAGGATGGGAGCTAAACTTCAGTTACATTGACCACTTGTTTTGCCTACACAGTTCCCAAGAGGAACTTCTTAAGTAAGAGGCAGAAAGTTAGATATGAGGTCAAGAAACAATTTTTCTGCTTGTGTGATTTGCTCTATTTACTTTAAGGAGCACATCTAGAGAGTTGTATTAACTCCATCCTGGAGAAATTAACTCCATCCCAGCCAAAACCAGCACATTATAACATTGCCTGTTTGGCCTGAATATGTATGCAAGATGCATGGCCTGCTACTGCTGTGTATGGTTCAGGGCACAGTCACTTCTGGGTTGGAGGCAGCAGGCTCTGGAGCTGATGTGAAGTAGATACTGTTTTTTGTGATGTGTCAGTTACCATCTTTCAACTGAGATTGCCTCTTGCCAGTCTATGGTGGTTCCCTTTCTGGTCTACTTTTTTCTCATAGAATGTGTCTAGATGTGTTTAACTACACACACTGTTCACAGATGATCTTAGGGAATTCTGACATTTGGAGAAAGGAAGTTAGGATCAGTAACTGGATGTTTCTTACAGTAATGATATGTTTCATAAGCCTTGTCTTGTAGAATTGTTTTCTGATGGAAAACTTTGGCATTTTGTAGTACTGCTGCAGCATGGTGCTGAACCAACCATTCGGAACACAGATGGAAGAACAGCTTTGGATTTAGCAGACCCTTCTGCAAAAGCAGTGCTGACTGGTAAGTGCTAATCTTTATATTGCTTGATGACTTAATAATAGTTGAACTAATGTAATACAGTATTTTGGGGTTTGTCTTTCTGATAGTGTTTGTCTCTGTTTATAATTCTAAACAGAAATTCTCTGATAGCCTTCATCATCTCAGTCATGACATGTGTTCTGGATTAATAGTTTATTGTGCTAGTTCAGTAATGAACTGTCAAATTTTTGGAACCATAGAATGGTTTGGGTTGGAAGGGACCTTAAGGATCATCAAGTTCCAACCCCCTGCCACAGGGGACACATTACACTAGACCAGTTTGCTCAGAGCCCTGTGCAGACTGGCCTTAAACACTGACAGGGCATCCACACCATCTCTGGGCAGCCTGTTCCAGTGCCTCACTACCATCTGAGGAAGGAATTTCCTCCTAACACCTAATCTAAATCTCTCTTCTCTTAGTTTAAAACCATTTCCCCTTGTCCTGTCACTATCTGCCCACATAAGAAATCATTCTCCCTCTGTTTTATAAGCTCCCTTAAAGTACTGAAAAGTACTTGAAGTACCTTTAGCACTTATGATCTCTAAAATTTGGAAGAGGAGAATAAGTGGTGCACTTCATGTATATGGATATTTATTTGACAGCTAAAGAAATTCCCTTTTGTCTTGTAGGTGAATACAAGAAAGATGAACTCTTAGAAAGTGCCAGGTATGCATGTTTTGGACGATATCTGGAATTAGCTATATCATTAAACTTGCATGTAATTAATATATTATATTTTGAGCTGGTATTCCATCTGGATGTTAAGCTTTGGCTGTTTCCTGTGAATAAGGCTACAAAAATAGATGCAAAACTGCATTTTTTCCCTTTAATGCTGAAAATACAGAGGTGAATATATTACTTCAGATCTGCTGAACATTATAGCAGTGAAAAATATAAAACCATAATAAGATAATAAAAATTGGGATAAAAATATCTCTGACCATTTCATATCTTGTTTTTCAGGAGTGGGAATGAGGAAAAGATGATGTCTCTTCTTACACCATTAAATGTTAACTGTCATGCAAGTGATGGCAGAAAGGTATTTTTGTTTAAAACCTGATTTAGAATTAGTTCTCTCTTACGTGTTTCACAGTTATTGTTTGACCAGATTTTAGAAATGTTAAACATAAAATCTATCTTATTTTTTTCACTATATGTGGGAAAATGAGATTCCACCTCTCTGGCAGCCAGCTGATTTTGTTGGTTTTTTGATCTTAAAAGGGCTTTGTAGGTATTTCTACTGAGTGCAATAAACAAACAGCTTTTCAGTGGAAACTTCATGACCCTCATATCTGCAGTGATAAAGGAGTGAGGCCTTTTGATAGGTTCTTGTCTCTGTCAGAGAGATACACACAGGCCCTTTGTTTGCCACGCCCCCTAGGCAAGTTATTGCCCCTGTTTCAGGAGCAAACTGTCCATTGCTTTAAATATTGGTAAAGAAATACCTGAAAAATTATCAAAATCTCCATTCTGAAAAGCCCCAAATCGTCTGGGTTCAGCCCCTGGCCTAGGGAATGTCCAGATTATTGAGTATCAATTTTTGACATCCTTATTGTTCTCATTAGTATGTGTACTCATTCGCTTGAGTTTTGATTTATTTGCTTTCCCTGTTTGAGGCTTTGTGGTAAGGTATTGGGATCTGCAGAACACTGATGCATCTCCAGTTTCTCATCTTCTAGTTATGAGACTCATCCTCTAGGAACTGTCCAAGCCCAGTTCAGCTGATGGGTTTGTAAATGCAGAGGATAAAATTTCTCTGCCCTTAGTGCTGCTGATGGGAATGCTTGAATGCATTTGCTAGAAAGATCATAGTACAGTTATCTGTCTGTGGAGGGTGAGAGTTTAGAAGAGAAGTTTCCCCCACATTGCACTAACTTGCTGCACTTACAGATGTGGATAACAATCTCTGCTGATAATTTGTAGACTGACTTTATTAATTGGCAGGGAGACTGCATCATTTAGCAGCCATTGTTTGCAATGGCTCTCTGACTTCCCTTTCACAAGGGACATAGTTTGTGACAGCTAAATATTTTTAGTTATGCTAGGCTTAAGGACAAAAATGGACTGTGGGACTCAAAAAATGAACATAGTTATCAAGTGTTTGATTCAAACACTCTGTTGGGTTTTTTTTAATCTTGTGTTTTAAGGACTTCAGTATTTACTACTGTTAACAGTACTAAATAAATATAAAGTCAACCTTTGATTTTGTGATACTGATTACTTCTCCACTCTGTCATTTCAGTCTACTCCATTGCATTTAGCAGCTGGGTATAACCGTGTAAAAATAGTACAGCTCTTACTGCAGCATGGGGCTGACGTACATGCTAAGGATAAAGGGTAAGTTCCTTTTCACCTTTGTTCAGGACAAACAGAATTGGTTAAAAATGGAGTGAAGAGCAATAGTACTATTCTAACCATGAAGAATTTCTAGCTTGAGACTGTTCTGTCGTCTTGAACCTTTCTGTTATGACAAAAATGCAACTCAATTAGTTTTCAAGGGAGAAGATAGTGTTACAGCAATGTTCTTATGGAAAAGAATATAATTACAGTCACTCCTGAACATCCCCTGCAGATAGTTCTTCCTGCTTAGAGTTCCAAGTCTAAGTGGAACCATTTCATCTGCAGTGAGACAATGCAATCATTTCTCATCTACTCATTCTTTTAGATGTTTATTGTTCTGATAAATGCTGATGGGATTTTCTAGTTTCTTTTCCATCTTCTTATTTCCCCTCAACTTCATTTGAACATTTATCATGTTCTTTCTGCAAAACGTTCAAGTTGTAGCATAGTACCATTTGCAGTGTTAGAGAAGCATTTGGGATTGAAATATATGTGCTAAGATAATCATCTTCTTCCTTTTTCTTCCACACAGAGATCTGGTGCCACTTCACAATGCCTGTTCCTATGGTCATTATGAAGTCACAGAGCTTCTAGTAAAGGTTGGTAACTGAAGAGATGAAGTTGCATATTATTAAATAAGAACAGTTTATAATGGCATAATACAAGTTGCATATGTTTTTATCTTGTACTTAGAGTTACAAAACTTAAAGAACGCTAGATTGCTTTCGCCCTACATGTTATTTATTAAGCTGGAGCTACAGAATCTTCTGCTTGCAAGGAGGCTTTTCCTTTATAAATGCTCTTTCTGTTCTTAACTCTCTCTGCTCCAAAGTTGAACATTTTTGTACCACCAAGTAGGTACTGCTTATCCCAGCGTTTCTACCCTCACACAAAAAAGCCACCAAAAAAAACCCTAAAAGCTGAATGATATTGTGAGTTTGACAACAGAAGACTATTTCAGTGGACAGAGCAATAAGAAGTGTTTAAAAAGAATTCTGGTAAAGGTAGTAAATGTTTTAGCATTAAAGAGGAGTCAGTCTCTTGAGGAAACGAACTTTGCAACATCTGTTTTAGCCCTGAATTGTAGCTTTCACCCCAAAGTAAGAGAAACATGTCAATTTTCCTAACATAAGTGAACTCTTGGAACTGAAGTGGTCTAAATGGATTATGTTAACATTGAAGATAAAGTACGATGAACATTAAACTCGTGGCTTGAGGATGTGGCCTGCAAAATACTCTGTGAGTGTTTTCCACCAAGGGAATTTTGAACTGTGCCTGTTCTCAGTGGCCACAGCAAATCAAGATCATTTTCTCAGCTGTGAGGGTGTTCAGTTAAATAACACTAGGTGTTTGGATGCTCAGGGAATAGCTCTTGTTCTATCCTGTGGCTCAGTCTCCCCTAATTCTATGTGTCTATTTGTTTTGCAAAAAATTAAGTAAAAAATTATGGAAATAAACATATATTGTAGCAAGGATAAGTAGTCAAGATCTTTTTTACCTCAGAGGCCAGTTGTAAAGTGAATCTTTACTATGATGGTACTAGACACAAAAAACACCACAGACTTTTGCCTATACAGTACTTTGTGTCTTAACTGTTAAGCTGGAGTTGTATTCCATGTTGGATTTGTGCTCCAAGGAATCTTGTGCAGTTTTGCAAAGAGTAATTCAGCTTTAAGAGAAGCACTGGGGAAGAGCATGTCCTATCAGATTTGCTTACAGACCAAACTCAGGGTGCAGTCAAAATGTCACTGGAGAAGAATCACATGGAGAGCATTACTTGCAGAGCTTTGCACTTAAATGTTTTGAATTGAAGTCAACTTTGAGTGCCCATTTCCTTTAGATATCATGCCATTCATATCTTGGGGGTTCGGCACAGAACATGTGTTTATCTTGCTGCAGTTGTTCACTCTAGACATTTTCTAGAGCAGCAAGAAATAGGAGCTTGTTCAAAGGTGATTTGGAGTATATGAATATTCCTCTTTCTCCAACCTGCCCTATAGCAGAGCTACTTTCCTTTTAGAGATGCTGAACAAAGCCTGCTTTTGGCTTCTTTGAATGTACCTGTGAGACACTAGAGGATTAAAGACTACAATGTGCTGAAATGTTGTGTTAGATTGAAAAGTAATGTCTTGGAAACAGTTTGCATATAAGCATTGTTTTTTACTTTAACAGTCTACTGTATTAAAACTAATAACAGTCTTTTTCTAACGATCTGGTTTTTGCATCTTTTTTTACCCCTTTCCCTTTCAAGCATGGAGCATGTGTGAATGCAATGGATCTGTGGCAATTCACCCCTCTGCATGAAGCAGCTTCTAAGAACAGGGTGGAAGTATGTTCTCTTTTGTTAAGTTATGGTGCAGACCCAACACTGTTGAACTGTCACAACAAAAGCACCATTGATTTGGCTCCAACACCCCAATTAAAAGAACGATTAGCATGTGAGTATAAAGTGAGATCAGTTCTACAGTTACAGCTTGTAATGTGTACTTAGGTTCCCTAGACAGCAACCTGCCAGAAATCATGAGCAATGCTTACACTTTCCAAGCAATTGTGCAATATTGGACAGTACATGTCAATGTTTATAATTTGAGATTGCTACATTTTCTGAATGTAGGCATTTGAAATAATTTTGCTGTCAGTTCTCTAGTCATGTGGTTGTGATGGGTTTTGTAGCTCTCCTTCCCTGAATACATGTTTTCCCTCACGACCTTGCCAGTACACTTTCATTTTCCATAGCTGCTCCTGTCATTGCATCAGGCTGTTGAAATACTCATTTTTATTCCAGTGTTTTGTTTGAAGAAAAGAAAAAGACATAGCTGTTTAGAATGCTGAATATATCTGATTATGCCACAATCACTGAAAGTTAAAAGCAATTGATGAAAGCTGTTGATTTTTGTCAAGCTGACTTAGGGAGTTGCAGAGTGACCTCAAAATCTGTCCTTGAGAGGTCAAACAATAACTTCCTGAGATACATTTAAAAATTGTCAGTAAATCCTACATTAGACTTCATGTTCGCATCTAGAAATGGCTTTCCAAAGATAGGTCAGAAGTAGAGATTTATATATGCTTGAATTGGTACATATGTGAAGAGTGGAACCTACAGAGTGGTGAGTGAATTAGATCTTGTACAGCCAATTTGGATGTCTCTGGCTTTGGTTTAGAAACAAAGCAAAATTTGTGTAGTGTTTTGCCTTAGCTAACAAGTTCTGTCAAGTGATGTAAAGGCTTGAGTCAGAGCTGGAAGTGTCTGCATCATGGTCCTATGAATAAAATGAATACTTTTGTCTAACTGAAAGAAACAATTTTCTTGATCCTTCTTGAGCCAAGGAGTGTAACCTTCTTCTCTGTGTTTGTTTTAAAAGATGAATTCAAAGGTCACTCACTGCTGCAGGCTGCAAGAGAATCAGATGTTGCTCGTATAAAGAAACATCTTTCTTTGGAAACAGTGAACTTCAAGCACCCTCAGACACATGAGACAGCACTGGTAATGTCTCAGGATTTATTAATGATTTTGCAGATAGTGTGGCTGACCTAAGCATAATGTTAATGTTAAGACTAATCCAAATTGCCTTTTTAGATTGCCCAAATGACTGGTTTTCTGTAGAAAAAGCAACATCAAGCTACATGTGTTTGCTTTGTTAGCAATTATTGCAGAGGGAGCTCTGGAAAATACCAAAGTAAATCCAAAAGCCCATGTGGGATCTTCCAAATTAATAAGCTTCTACATGTTATGGGATTTTTTTTCCTGTTGACTCTGTATGCCACCAGCTTTTAACTGCCAGCTGTTCAGCAAGCAGTAAAACCTGTGTCTTGCTAGCTAGTTGTTAATCCTAAATATTCTAATGTTCTCAGCACTGTGCTGCTGCATCTCCATATCCGAAGAGGAAACAAGTATGTGAATTGCTGCTAAGGAAAGGAGCCAACATCAATGAAAAAACAAAAGAGTGAGTGGTTGCAAATAAATACTTATAAGTGTTTGTTTAGAAGATTTTGCAAAATACATTTTGAATTATTCTTTCCTCTTTGTTTTCATAAAGCTTCTTGACTCCTCTGCATGTGGCATCAGAAAAGGCTCATAATGATGTTGTTGAAGTAGTTGTGAAACATGAAGCTAAGGTATGAGTGTCATACTTTTTGTTGTTGACATCTGTGTACTCTATAGTCCATTCTCATACCATGAGAATGGACAGGCCTTTCTAAAATAACTGATTTTGGAAGGTTCTAGGTTTATACACTTAAGCTATAAGCCATTGATACAGCCCTATACATTACAGTCATCATTTTGGGCCTGCTTTATAAGGAATGCAGATGTGAACAGAAAGCTTTGAGTGTGTCTTACTCAGTGCTTCATTGTCCAGCAATAATAATGAAACGTGTAAGGGAAAATAGCAGGGGATATATGTGAATAACAAGAAGCTAGACTGAACTGTGTGACAGGTAAGCTTTACATGATATTGTGTAGAGTAAAAATCACCATGAAGGCAAAATGTTAAGTCACAACACAGTGTTTAGTTCAAATTTCCACAGAAGGAAAATGTGGAAAGGAGACAATCTCTGTAATTGCCCCATCAGCTCTCTGGCTTGACATTCTGTAGTGCTTGAACCTTCCAAAACTAGGAGTTGAATCTCTCTCATGGGAATTTGATTACTGTGAAGTTTTCAAAACCAGAGGCACAGTATGGAATACAAGTAAGCTTTGGGTGCAGAGTTTTAGATTGTTGAAGACACCTTGACTGAAACACATGGAAAGTCTTCAACCTGAAAAACCACAGTAAGCCAATGGAAGTAAAAGCTTTCTATGTGTTGGCACTGAGGGTTTGTGCTGCTGGGAGCAAAATAATGGCCTCTGTGTTAAAATTCCACTGAATTATTCTCATGCCTTTAATAGCAGCTATTCTACCTCAGTACATGTAGTTACAACTTTATGAACTGTTACATTTTCCTGTTTGAAATGTCTTGACCTTTGGAAATGTGCTAAAGGGTTGGACTCAATGATCTTTGAGGTCTCTTCCAACCCAGTTGATTCTATGATTTTATGATTCTAAATATGTTCCTTTCATTAGAGTAAGAACAATACTTGTGAAATGCTCCCAGTCAACAATGAAAACAGCTTTAATACTAAGTTTTAATAGTGGTATTTCTTGTCTGTGTTTTTTTCAGGTTAATGCATTAGATAATCTTGGCCAGACTTCTCTTCATAGAGCAGCACATTGTGGTCATCTTCAGACATGCAGGTTGCTGCTGAGTTCTGGATGTGATCCTTCCATCGTGTCTCTGCAGGGCTTTACAGCCTTACAAATGGGGACTGAAAGTGTGCAGCAGCTACTGCAAGGTATGCTGATTTATTCAAGATCTGCTCTGGTGCTTGGTTTTACTTGCAATTTCAAGTGCTGTCAAGAAGGAATAGAAAGTGCATTCCTCAACAGACACTACCGGGTTGTGCAGTTCTATTCCCTAGTTAACTATCATTTACTCTCTAGATTGTCAGAGATGCTCAAGAGGTTTGTGGTATAGCTACCTGGAATGATTTTAGAAAAATCCTGACACAGGAGGGGGAGAATCTTATGAGTAGAAAATTAGTTTCTGAACCAAAAAATAGCTGCTCTGCGTTTGTGAGCAGAGGCAACAGTGTGCATGGAATTTCAAGAGTAAGGTTTGGCTATTGTACACATAGGGAACTTTTTCGTATAGTCTAATTCTGAAACTGCACTCGGAATGCATAGTTGGTTCCACAGTACTTCAAAATGAATGGGAAGCATGTTGCTAAAGACAGCTTTGCAAACACTATTAGCTCTAGCAGCTATAGTTGTAGATAGTAAGCAAAGAAATTTGTTTATAACGGGTTAACTTTTTTAAGGGAAATCCTTGAAATACTCAAATGATTTCCTGTCTTAACAAATTCCTTTGACTGCCTACACTTACCTCTCATGCAACCTCATTTGCTTTGCAGAAGGCATTCCATTAGGTAATTCTGATGCAGATCGACAGTTGCTGGAGGCTGCAAAGGCTGGAGATGTGGATACTGTAAAAGTAAGCTTAAACCTGTCCTTAAAAATAAAAGGGAATTTGTCATGGTTTAACCCCAGGCAGCAACCAAGCCCCACATGGCCACTCACTCACTCCCTCACCAATGTGACTGGGGAGAGAATCAAAGGGCAAAAGCTGCAAAGCTCACGGGTTGGGATAAAGACAGTTTAATAGGGAAAGCAAAAGCCACACACAAGCAAAACAAGGAATTAATTCATTGTTTCCCGTGGGCAGGAGGTGTTTAGCCATCTCCAGGAGAGCAGGGCCCCATCACGCGTAGTGGTTACTTAGGAAGACAAACACCGTCACTACAAACATCCACCCCTTTCTCCTTCTTCCCCAACTATATATACTGAGTGTGATGTCATATGGTATGGGATATCCCTTTGGTCAGTTTGGATTACCTGTCCCAGCTGTGTCTCCTCCCCAGCTCTCATGCACCCCCAGGTTCCCTGCCAGCCTGGCAGTACAAAAGCAGCAGAGGCCTTGGCTCTGTCAGCACTGCTTAGCAATAGCAAAAACATCTCTACGTTATCAACCCTGTGTTCAGCACAAATCCTAAACATAGTCCCATACTAGACACTGTGAAGAAAATTAACTCCACCTCAGCCAAAACCAACTCAGAATTATATCCCAATCCATAATTTCTCAAAGTAAGCAATCAAACAGCCCTTCACTGGCTGCTTTAGAATTGTGATCCCTGTCCTAAAACCTTTGTATTCCACAAATAATACAGAGGACGTAATATTCACCACCTCCTGAAGTTTTCCATATAAAATGCATAAATAAGTCCCAGATGTGGATTTGGGAGCAGGTGAATTTTTTCCTTAGGACATAATCTGTGAAAAGTAAAGATTTTATATAAAAACAAATGAAGCGATAAACTCTCTAGTGAAAACAGTAATTTAAAATTATATGTGTATAACAACATTCTGTGACTAAATCAAAAGTGCCAACACTACACATAGTGATGTGTTTTTGTTTTGGGAAATTCACAGAAGCTGTGTACAGTTCAGAGTGTGAACTGCAGAGATATTGAAGGACGTCAGTCAACACCACTTCATTTTGCAGCTGGATATAACAGAGTATCTGTTGTGGAATATCTTCTTCAGCATGGAGCTGATGTGCATGCAAAAGATAAGGGGTAAATGCTCAAATGTGTATTTTCTTGTCAATTGTCATTGCTGATATCTGTCAGCTCTTGAATATTGCTTAGCTGATATGATGGAAGCTTCTGTTAGAATGAAGATGCTCAGAATATACAAAAGCATTTTGCAGTGCTTAATACCAGAGTGTCAAGGATTTCTCTGGCACTGCATTTTTGCTTGTCTTCAGTGCTGATTGCATTTTTGTTGCTTTGGCAGTAGATAGACATTAGAGTATTGTTGAGGGGAAAAAAAGGAAGTGGAGTTTTTGTTATGGTTTGATTGTGGAAGGTTCATTGTGTTTTAAGTTTATATCACTTGGTGAAAAAAATGCCCAATTTTTAAACAGAATTTTCCTCTTTTAATTACTTCCAGAGGACTTGTCCCTTTACATAATGCTTGCTCATATGGGCACTATGAAGTTGCAGAACTGCTGGTTAAACACGGTGCAGTCGTCAATGTCGCCGACTTGTGGAAATTCACTCCCTTGCATGAAGCTGCAGCAAAAGGAAAATACGAGATTTGCAAACTCCTGTTACAGGTATTACATATACTGTAAAGAGGTTGCTTTCTTTTATCATTCACTCTGAAACATAATTTGATGTCTTTGAGACACTGATTTGTGGTTTGTGAATGACTGTAGTTAAATGTGTTCAGTGAAAGGGATACTGTTAGCAACTATGCTCTCCTTTCTCACACAGTAAATGGAAGGCTCTCTGAAGGGTTTGAGTATGTGTCAGAATATTTGCTCAATAAGATGCCTAAGATGCAGCTTGTTTATTCTAGTCATGTACTCACCACCTGTTTTTCATATGCACAGCATGGTGCTGATCCCACAAAGAAAAACAGAGATGGAAATACTCCTCTAGACCTTGTTAAAGACGGTGATACTGATATTCAAGACCTGCTTAGAGGAGATGCAGCTCTGCTAGATGCTGCTAAGAAAGGTTGTTTGGCCCGAGTGAAGAAGCTGTGCTCACCTGACAATGTCAACTGTCGGGACACGCAGGGACGGCATTCCACACCTCTGCATTTAGCAGGTCAGTGTTAATTAACTGCTTTGGTCAGAGTTATGAGTCCCTAGATACTGTGGCTGAACTTCCTATGGCTAAGGAAGTTTAAAGTGCAGCCTCCAGCTGCAGGATTCAGTGTATCTCTTTAAATAAATTGGTGTTTCATTCATATTAGTCTTATGTTGCTCTTCCAAGCTGTTTAATTGCTTTAAGTTCCTGCTCTCTCTATCCAAAGAGGATCTTTTTTTCTTTATTGACAGGTTTTAAAACCAAATACTTTTAAATAGTGTGAAGCTGTCCTCACTAATAAGTAATGTACTGTACAATCAATGGGATTGATATCTTAACTAACTTCGAAGTAATTGAAGTGCATTACTACTTCACTACAGCCTATTGTGAGTGTATTCTTAATTCTGTTTATTCTGTCCTGCAACTTTCCAGCTGGTTACAACAATTTGGAGGTTGCAGAGTACCTGTTACAGCACGGGGCAGATGTGAATGCACAGGATAAAGGAGGTTTGATTCCTCTGCATAATGCAGCATCTTATGGGGTAAATATCTCAAACTTTCTCAGACTTTATTTATTAGAAAAACAAAGTGATAAATCTCATTGACAGCACCGTGAGCCAATACTCTGTCGGGTGCTTTTGCTGTTGAGTTGTAATGTAATCTTACTTGTAAAACACAAGATGAATCATTTGAGCATAGCTCATATTACAGGTGAGGACTCTTTAAGAATTTGTAAATTGTGATTGGAGTTTACAGAACTGAGTTTTCTGAGCACCTAGCAAGCCAGCAGTCTGAAAGGTGTTCCATAAAATGCCTTTCCTTACCTGTGCCTGTCGAATTTTATCAGCAAGATCACATTTTCACTTATGTGGCTGCTGTTGAGACAATAATTGGGTTTGTGAACTTCCTAGGTCTTTGTGCTTGAATCAATTCTTTAAGCAAAACAGTTGGTGTACTTTCCAAACTGGAAGTTCAGCATCAGGCTTTTTTTCCTTCAGATTCCCCTGGATTTGGGATTCTGTTTTACTCTGTCCTTTTTTTCACAAGAGAGCAAAAGATTTTACTGGTATGTTATAGGTGAGGAAGAAAACACCTTGTTTTCATACTTTTAATCATAATGTATTCTAAGAAAACTCAGAATTGCTCTGATTACAGAGAAGTATCAGTAATAGTTCTGACTTACTTTAATACACTGTGGTACCTTGGAATTTAACAGGTGTTTTTATTTTTCCAGCATGTTGACGTAGCAGCTTTACTTATAAAGTATAATGCATGTGTGAATGCTACAGACAAATGGGCTTTCACACCTCTGCATGAAGCAGCCCAGAAAGGAAGGACACAGCTTTGTGCCTTGTTACTGGCACATGGGGCTGATCCTACTCTGAAAAACCAAGAGGGACAAACTCCACTGGACCTGGTCACTGTAAGTGATGGGGCTCTCCTTGGGAATTCTGTGCTTACCTGCTGTTTGTGACAGCTCATCTCAAAACTGTCCTTGAGAAACATGGTAATACAGCAACGTCTGCAAAATCTAACATGCTGTGGTTACTTTGGCATTTATATGTGCCTGAGAAGGAAAGTAAGTAGAGCCTTTATAAACCTTTGGAATAGGTTTGCCCAGGGAGGTGGTGGAGTCACCATCACTGGAATTGCTTAAAGAGGTGTCTGGATCTGATGCTGGAAGATATGATTTAGGAGTTACAGCAGTGGCAGGTTAATGGTTGGACTCAGTGATCTTAGAGGTCTCCTCCAACTTGATGATTCTATGATTCTAAACCACCTTTAAATATTTTCTTGCTTCAGACATCTTATTTCAGTATGGAGTGGGGGGGAAAACCAACAACAACAAAAAAGAATTAATGGTTATAATTTGATGCTTTTAATTCAGTGCCTAATAGTTTGACTAATAGAAAGACTGGCAATAAAATGTAAGCAAACTTTGTAGCAATGTAAACTTAAGAAATTATCTGGCTGTTAAGTTTTGGGATGTGTTTTTTCTAAGTATTCTAGTGCAATCCAGAGTTACAGTCAGAGTAACTGTTCTGTTTCATAAATTCCAGTTGCCACTAGAAGGTTCTGTTCATTTTTTGTAGCAAGCTCATTCTAGTAACTGTCCCTAAAGTTTTTTAGAAATACTGAAATCTTTATTTTTACTTTATTACAGCTTTTATGTATAAACATGTTACAGTTTTGTGTATGCTGTTGACACAAAAGGCCATTTGTAAGCTGCATTGTAAAATAGCTCTTTTCCCCATCTTTACTTATTTAGTTAGCAGTATACTTAACAAGTCTGAAATAATGATAGTGTAGTGTGTTCTAGGAAAAAACATTGTGCAAAAGTGTTTCTCTGTTTTAATGAGTTGTTTTCTGCTCTTTAGGCAGATGATGTCAGTGCGTTACTGACAGCAGCGATGCCTCCTTCTGCCTTACCTACTTGCTACAAGCCTCAGGTTATAAGTGTGTCTCAGGCTACAGGCTCTGCAGCTGATTCCCTGTCTTCTGTCCCATCCAGTCCATCCAGTCTGTCTGCTGCAAGCAGTCTGGACAACTTGTCTGGTAGTTTTTCTGAACTTCCTTCTGTTGTTGGTACGAACTGTGCAGAGGGAGCTACTGTTCTGGAGAAGAAAGAAGGTGAGGTGTCTGAGGAATGAGTAACATTTCTTACTGTATGGTAAAAAGAACACATAATTCTGAAGTTTCCCATACATGGTACAGTTGTTATGGCATATGCAGTGTCCCAATTCCTTATGATGCTGTTAACAAGGAACAAGAGTCTTCAAGTCTTGTAGTACAAGATTTTACTGCTTTGCCCTTACAGAATCTTTAAAATGTTTCTTGCTGGACAGAACCAGAATGCTGAGCTGTGTTTTCAAAGAGGTGACAAATGGAATTTGGTTCTGTACCAAGTAGTATTTTACTAAAAACTTAAGCTAGTTTCTACCAGGCTGTTCTTAGATCAGGTATCTTGAAAAGGCTAATTCTGTGATGTTGTAATTCTCAATATATTTTCTGTCTGAACTTGCATTACTGGTAGCTAGTTACACAAACACTGCTTTTAGGGAGGTAGAAATCTTAGAGCACTAGGGTAGATTAAGTAATAGTTGCCACTGGTTATTGATATAAACATGTAATCCCCATCTGCAGAAGACCAGGATTTTCTGTCTCTTATTGTTGCCACAGACAGGCTGAGATGTGAGATTTATTTTGCAATGAAGGTTTGGATTCATGGTGAGTTTTTCTTCCTACTCAGTTTCAGGTGTAGACTTTAGCATTAACCAGTTTGTGCGGAACCTTGGCCTCGAACACCTGATCGACATATTTGAGAGAGAACAGGTAAGGAGCTCTATTTGTTTCCAGATACTCAGCACTAGAAAGCAAGAAAATAAATACTGACCATTTGGAGTAACATGAGACAGAGTTAAAATGAGTCAATGTCAAAATGAGTGGAATGAAGGAAAGGACTGTAAAATAAATGTATGTTAAAATATATGTGTGTCTAAAGAGCTTGGGGCAATAATGTCCATATCAGTTTAACTGTAGCAATGTGGTATAAATCATAGAGTACATAAGTAGTCAGTGTTGATTAGTAATTTCAGATTTTATTTCTTTTGCCTTGAATACATCTAGAAATTTGCATTTCTCAATCAGAAGTACGATCCTTGCAAACAATACAAGTTAGACAGTTGTAGTTTGTTGCATGTTTATTTAAAGACAAAGTCTGGAGAAGACAGTTGAGTAACAGTAAAAAAGTCTCTAATGTTCATGATCTTTTCACACTTGCTTTTTCTCTCAACTATTGTGAGGTGTATTTTCACTGTCATTGCCAGTTGTGCTAGTACAAATCAAAGCATGTTGCTTTCTTTATAGATAACACTGGATGTGTTGGTTGAAATGGGACACAAAGAATTGAAGGAAATTGGAATTAATGCTTATGGCCATAGGCATAAAATCATCAAAGGAGTTGAAAGACTTATTTCTGGACAACAAGGTATGTGCTCATGTCAAACTGTCACATAATACTGCCTTTATATAATCAGTTTTTATATATTATTTATGTTAGTTGGAATTGTAGCTCATTAAAAAAAATTGATAATAAAATTTATCTTAGAAAATGGCACTGCAAATGGTAAGAATGTCTTCTGACTTGAAACATGAGCACTTGTATTTGTGCTGTGAATTACTGTGAATCTTGCCTTTCAGTTCTCTGGGCTTTGTTTCTCTATGGTCACTGTTTTGTGTTTACTTAAAGTGTCAATCCTAGTGCAAACTGATCATAAGCTCTTTGAGCTAGGGAGTGTTTCTCTTCATCAAAGTACTCTGAAGAGCAGAGCTCATTCTCTGTTGGTGAGTTAGGGCATGTTACGTGCTGTTGCATTGAGCCCTGCCATAGATTACTGTCTTTGCTCACTCAGAAATCCAGCTGAAATTCTTACCTATACTTCTCTTTAAAAGCAGAGTTGGTGCTTCCAGTGATGCAAAATTAGCATAATTGCTTTGTTTAACAATTCACCTGGTATTGAAGTTTCTGCTAAAGCCTCTTCACTTGTGCAGCACTGTTGATACCAGCAGAATTCATTGCAATTCAGTATGCTTCGTTTAATTGTGGCTGCATAAAAGGCAAAAAAACCCTCCAAATCTATTTTTCCTCTTTGTCTCACTGTTTCACCTAGAGGTGAAATGAACTCTTGTAATTAACTACTTAGAAGTAGTTTCCCTGTCCATGTACATTATCATACTGACCTAAGCATAGATAAATGAGTTAGTATGTCTGAAATGCTGTTTCTTGCTGAGAGAACAACTGATCAGTGTCCACAACTCCATGAAAATCACTGCAGCATTCACATCTAACTGCTGTGCCTCTCATGGCCTTTCTGGTGCATGCATGGTAATATATGGGTAGAGGTGATAAACAGAGATGCTGAAAAAGTTTGCTTGAAACCAGTGAACTTATTTGAAGGATCACACTTTAACATCCACAAAAAGGTATGTGACCAGTAGAAGGCAACTGAAGTAATTTGTAATCTCTGCCTTCCTTAGCAGCTAAGCTCCTCAGCTGGTAAACTGAGTTTTGAGAAAATGGTCCCTTAAAAAAGAGAAGTCTTCCTGGTTATCATTCCAAATCAGTAGTCTTAAAGCAGTTTCTGAAACTGTTGTTGTGTTTTATTCCATTCACAGGACTCAACCCATACCTGACTCTAAATACTTCTGGCAGTGGAACTATTCTCATAGACCTTTCCACTGAAGATAAGGAGTTTCAGTCAGTAGAAGAAGAGGTATGTCAGTCTGTGTAGTCTCTCAGTATTTTTGTTACTACTACTAAAGAAGCAGATAAAGAAGTATTGCTAGACTATTTTAACAGTGCAATAAACATCACTAAGCCTAAGAAAAGCTTGGATAAGGGTACTTCAAATTCCCAGCTTTATACCACATGTAATTTGTGCTGCTGATGTCTTGTAACTGTTTTACTTATATTGTTACTGCTTGTAGTATTTTTAAAACCTCTACTTTACAGACGAGCTCTTTGATATAACATATAAAGTCTATGCTGCCAATTGATTGCTTGTCTGTTACACAGTTTTAAATCACTGCCTTGCAAAGTGTCATAATCGCACAAGACAAAATTCTGAAGAAACAAAATTCTGAAGAAACAAAATTCAGAATAGATTCATGACAATCTTCTCCAGTTTGAAATCCAGACCCTGGGCTAGTCAAAAAAATCACTAAACCTGTTCTTGTGCATACAGAAAATCTGGCAGTACTTACAGCCATTGCCTGATAGGTTCCTGTGTGGTTTTTTTATTGTCTTAATACATAATGAGCTCTTTGGTTATTTGACTTGTGCAAAGGAAATATATGTTGAATGTGCTCTGAAACAATGTGATCCTCCTCAAATTCTCAACCTCCAGATGCAGAGCACTGTCCGGGAGCACAGGGATGGAGGACATGCTGGTGGAGTCTTCAACAGATACAACATCCTAAAGGTAGCTGTTGCATTTTTATGGTCAGTGGTAGCTGTTGCATTTTTTTATGGTCAATGGTTATGCCTTTATGAGAGATTTTTTAAATTAAATTTAAATTTTTTTTTTACATTAAATTTACAAATTTTTTACTCGAGATTTTTAAAATGAATTGTTTCTTAATTAAACATATAGTTGTGATTGAGTTGTTGTGCTGCAGCAATCAACTTGTGCAGGATAAATTAGAGAATTTGTGTTTCATTGAGTTCCAAGGGAAGTGTTCTTGTTTGAGTGGCTGTGTAAGTGTACTCTAGAATAGTGGCCATAGGTTATACATCTGTCAAGTAAAGTGAACAGAATTTTTCAGTTTCAAGGTGAAACTTATATTTTTGGACTGTTTCAGATTCAGAAAGTATGCAACAAAAAACTATGGGAAAGATACACTCACAGGAGGAAAGAGGTCTCTGAAGAGAATCATAACCATGCTAATGAAAGAATGCTGTTTCATGGTAAGATTTTGCAGCGCACCTTATGAGCTCATTTCATCATCAACACTCTTTTTTGTAGGGTTTCTACTGTCTCAGAGTAAATTTCCTCAATGGAAATAGGTTCTAGGTTTGACATGAGTTTTTATGAATAAGTGTTTGTGTATGTCACAATGGGGAGATACAATGTTCTGGATCTTTCTTCTGACATTAGCATCTCCTTGTCTCTCCCCAAAGGAGACATCAAAGGTCTAAGTGAAAACATTTTAGCAGTTATGAATGAAGATTAAGTAATGCTCTTCCTCGTGAAGTGACCAAGTCTGGTTTATCAGCTGTATGACCAAATTGATTAAAGGTCAAACTTCATTCTGCTATGGGTTGTTTTGGGGTGGGATTTTCTTGTTTTCTTGTTTTTAAGTTAGCTTTGTTCAGCATTCCAGGAAACATAACTTATCCTTAGCAAATTAAAGCCAGTTGAAGGCTCTCCTGTGCTCTCCTGTTTGCCCTGATGAGCAAACCAAACAAGCTCAGGGTCATGTTCATAATGAAGGCTGCAGGGTTCCCAGCACGATCAGAATGGATGATTGAATTGTGACACATATTTCAGTACTTTTCCTCCTTTCTCTTAGGCTCCCCATTTGTGAATGCCATCATTCACAAAGGCTTTGATGAGAGACATGCCTACATAGGAGGCATGTTTGGAGCTGGGATTTACTTTGCTGAAAATTCTTCCAAAAGCAATCAATATGTATATGGAATTGGAGGTGGCACTGGATGTCCAATTCACAAAGACAGATCTTGTTATGTTTGCCACAGGTAAGTCCTTCAAAAGAATCTGATTTTGCCTCTGTGTATGGTGTTCTAGGCTATCAGTGCAGCAGAGTCTGTTTCTGAAGACAAACCAAGAATTTGCTTTGTTACTAGAACTCAGTAGTCTCTATGTGCTGGGCCTAATAAAATCTTCCAGAAAACTTGACTTAAAGAACCTTCAGCCATCTTGAACCATAGGTTCAGGCACTGGAGTAGATTTGCCCAGGGAGGTGGTGGAGTCACCATCCCTGGAAGTGTTTAAGAGTCATCTGGATCTGGTGCTGGGACGATATGGTGTAGGGGTTACAGCAGAGTGGCAGGTTGGTGGTTGGACTTGATGATCTTAGAGGTCTCGAGGTCTATTCCAAACATGATGATTCCATGATCTTCAGTGCATTTAACCCAACCTTTGCCCTTAATTTACTGTAAAAATCAGACTGAGGGAGCCAGGGAGTCAAGAAGATCTGCTAGAAGGTTGTGTGAAAGATGCAGCTATGTGAGGGTTTAGTCCAATGCCTGTTACAGAGAAAGGAGAAATTCAGGGATGTTCAGGTGCAGTATTTCTTTAGGAATATTCATTAGGAAGATGAATATACATTCCTAAGCATGGTCCTTTCTCCCTTCTCCCACAGGCAATTGCTCTTTTGTCGTGTAACACTGGGCAAGTCTTTCCTGCAGTTCAGTGCTATGAAAATGGCTCATTCTCCCCCAGGACATCACTCAGTTACTGGGAGACCCAGTGTAAATGGATTGGCATTGGCAGAGTATGTCATTTATAGAGGAGAGCAGGTAAACAGCTTTGGTTTGGTTTGCCAGACCCCCTGGTTTTTTCCAAAGGTATGCAACGCATTGGGGTTTTTTCTCATGTTTGAGGTGCTAGGACTTGCTTTTCTCTTAAAACAAACTCCAGCTGTGCTTGCAGGTGAAAGGATATTTGTTTCCTAAATGCTTCAGGGATTTTGCCTTTGACATTTTGCCCTTTTTTTCGTTGGTTTTAATACATTTTCCTCTCCTCTAACAAACATTCCTATTCATCCAGGAAATTAAATAATAATAAAAAATGTGTCTGTCACTCTTTCAGGCTTATCCAGAATACTTGATTACTTACCAGATTATGAAACCTGAAGCCACCACTGAAGCTTAAGACAAGTTACTTGTGGGAAACCATCAGACTGTGGATGTGAACACACCAGTGGCTGCCATCATGTTTAATTACAAGTTTTTGTTGAAAAACTTCCATTCACAGGTGGTGCGGTAGCAAATGTGAACAAAACATACCAGTTTTGACTTGATAAAGCTTTAATAATGTACAGTATGTTTTTTCTAAAATTTCAGAAATGTCCTCTTTTTCAGCACTTTAACAGATACCATTCCAGGCATAAACTGGGGTTTGGCTGTACTAAATTATAAACAGAAATTAACTTGAAAGAATGGTTTTATACAACACTGCATTT